AAGAGATAGAAAAAGAAATTCCATTTAAAGTTTCCGTAACCACTATAAAATATTTGGGAGTCTACCTGCCAAAATAAACCCAAGAACCATATGAACACAACACTTTTCACACAAATAAAGTCAGATTTAATAACTGGCAGAAAAAGTATACAAAGGATAAACGCAACTAAATTCAGACAAATAAAATCAATAAACTACTGTCATTTAATCAAAAATAAGAGATGGAAATAAAATTGCAAATTTAAAAAATAAATACATAATCACAAACTTCTATATTCAATTATACAAACATATTAGTAGTTACCAAAAAAACCCCACAAAACAAAAACCTCGTATGAAATAATATACATAAAACGCTCTTCAAATTTTATAGCAAGCTATAAATACCAATTGTTCTTTTCTACAGTAAGTGCTCATGATACTCTTCTCTTCTGGTTCTCTTTATACCTGTCTGACTTATACCTGTCTTCTTATACCTGTCTATTCTCCTTTTCTTTATTCAGGTCACACTCACTAATCTGGAATGTCTCCCAAGACTTTGTCATGGGGACCTCTTCCATCTTTTCTTCCCTCCCCTTCCCCTCCTCTCCTCCTCTCCTCTCCTCTTTTCTTCTCTCCTCTTCTCTTTATATTTCTTTTGGTGATCATATAAACTCTCATGAATTCAATTATCATCTACATGCCAATGATCTTCAGATCTATTTATGCAGCCCTAAACTTCTCTTCTGACTTCCAGTCTCTGATTTCCAGATACTAAATGGACACCTCAAACTGGGTATCCTATAGACCTCTTAAGCTCAATATGATAAACTGAACTTATCTTTCACCCCAAACCCTCCACTCTTTCTAAGACACTTATTACTGGTAAAGACACGACTATCCTTCCAGTCCTCCAGGCTCACAACCTAGGTGTCATCCTCAATACCTTATCCTTGATGAGTTTCTACAAACTTAGAGAGTCCGACAATATCAAGGCAAATGTGAGACACTTGCCAGTACCATACCTAAAGCCTTATTAACACCTTGATATGACCTATAAAACTTTCAATCTACTGGCATAGGCTTCAACAACACAGGGTCATCTGCATACCAAGATGAAATATCAATAGGAATTTACTGGAGATAATAAGTAATTATTTACATTTACAAAAATTTTACAAAGTTTCCTCACCATAACCTGCTTTGCTTGGTGGTGTAAGTCTTATATTTCCATGTTATCAATGATGAAACAGGCTCAGCAAGGATTGCTGACTTGCTGCTGGTCACACATTTAATAAAACTCAGGTTTTCTGATTCCAAGTTCAGTGATCTTCCTACTTCATCATACATCTTCCATGAGCTGACCTCTTAGGTCCCTTTCAGTTCTAAATCAATGATCTCATGGCTTTTTCACACTCCTTCTGCAGTGTATAAACTTTGTTACAAACACAAAAAAGTAAGAGTAGGCCAGACTTACTACAACATATTTGAATCAGTTGCTGGCTCATCATCATGGAAAATCACCATTGATAAAATATTGATTATATCCTTTTTTATCATTCTTCCAAAATATTCTAATAAAATCATACTGAATTTTCTACCTTTTAGTAATTTTTTTTCAAATAGCATAAATAAAATACATTTCCAAAGCTTTTTGATGAAGGTATTTGTTATTATAGATTCAAAGGAATTTGTTAGACAAAAAGAAACTGTGAAAAGCTCTTATTGTAACAACTCTATCAATTGGAAGCTTCACATAACCAGCACACAGTGAAGGACTATCAGAGCACAAATAAAATGGCACAAATAAAATGGCAGATGTCATTACATGCCTTGAATTCACTTAAATCCATCTGTGTGAATTTTTACTCAGAAAAGAAGCACAAACATATTAACACATCTAATAGTATTTGGATGTATTTGAGTACACAGTGTGTGTAAATAGAGAGGTTAAGCATTTAAACCATTTGCATTTAATGAAATGGCATCTGCATTTTGCAAAGCACTTTATTCATTATTTGCCAAAATATGTTCTTCCAGTTTCCCTATTGTATCGCTATATGATAGAATTAAACCACAGCAAGAAAGGTATTGCAGCCAACAGCTTAGAGGATTTTTTTTTCTGGGAAAGAGGGCCTTAATATTATATGGTAGTGAGTGCTTAGTTTGTATGTATTCAGGCCAATTTGAGGGATGTGATTATAGTTCACTAGTTACCAGAGACTTGTCAAAAGAATACTTTCAGAAACTGCTCTGAACTACTCAAAACATTTCTAAATTTACTGAAACATTAGCAGTTCTTGAATTCTAACAAATTCTCATCAGCTAGTTTTGATAATTCATTTCTTTGATTAAAAAGAAGTACTGAAATGTGTTGTCCTTGGCATGGAAATGCTGCTATTAATTCACCATTAGTTAGACACACAATCACCCTACCATTCTCTCCCCCTTACCTCCCCCCGCCAATAGTGATTATAGGTCTAAGCTGATGTTGTAGGCATGACTCTAAAGCCAGCAGGTTTTTAGTCACATTCCATGTTGGGACAAAATGAGGTACTCCCAAAGTACTGAACATTTAACATTGGAGAAGGTTACTTTACCTTAACAGCAAAGAAATACAACAAGAATACAGTGGCATTTAATGTCTCTGGATGCAACCCACTCATCTCCATCTAGAAATACTGTCAATCAGTCACCAGGATATAGTCACTTTTGTGATTTCAACCATCCACTGAGTCTGAGAGGCATAGAGGCCACATGGCTTAGGCCAAGGGTAGGGAACCTGTAGCCTCAAGGCCACATGTACCCCCTAGGTGCTCAAGTACAGCCCTTTGATGGAACCCAAACTTCACAGAACAAATATTTTTATTAAGGGAATTTGTTCTGTGAAGTTTGAATTCAGTCAAAGGGCCACACTTGAGGACTAAAGTGTGACTTAGACTTTTTATTGACTCTAGGACAGGAAGCTGTGTCAAAGAAGATGGGGCCAATCAGGTTTCAATGGAGGTGGGGAGGAAGTTTCACCAGGCAGCTGCTAAGGGAAGCCAGGACCCAGGCAAGTTGTGTAAGGATTTTGTGTGGGGAGAAAACTATGTCAGGGGGTTAGGAAACTATTGTGTTACCGTGGGGGAAATATCCACAATCTTTTGTCCAATCCTTCTGTGATCTAGGAGAGGATTTGCCAGATGACTAATTGACTGGTCATAATGGACTGACCAATGGCAGTAGAACAAATCTTGTGACCTTGCCTGGGGAGGACTGAACATGGAGCTTTTGCTTCATTTATACCTTACATCATTAAATTTAATGTATAATCTTCAACATGCATGTGAATACATATATACGAGCAATTAAGTTTATACATATGTATGGGCATATATACATATGTGTGTATAGTGTGTATATACACAATATTTTAATGATATCTTTGAAATGGAGTCTTCTCCAGGAATGAAAATGATGATAATTCAAATGTAGAATTATTTCCTTTCACAAAGTATTTTTGCATGATCTTTTTAGATATGTATTAAAATATTATTCATGGTTTGTGTATGTGGAAATTAAGGCTTTGAGGAACTACAGGACTTAACCATGGTCACACAATTGACTCTTTTTGGAGCCAGGGAACCCATATGGATGTGATGATTCTAGGACCTTTGTTCCCTCCTTTACCACATTACTTTCTATTAGCCATGTGACTTGGGCAAAACAAGTAAACAGTCCAAACCTCAATTCCCTCTGAAAAATGATAGGCAAGAAATTAAGGTTGGTGATCCGGTGATATTATCTGGCTTTTTCTTCTTCTTTTTAAGTTTCTTTCTTTTTTTTTCCCAAGGCAATAAGATTTAAATGACTAGCTCAGGGTTACACAGCTAGTCAGTGTCTCAGGCCTGATTTAAACTCAGGTACTCCTGATTTCAGGGCCAGTGCTCTATCTACTGTGCTGCCTAGCTGCCCCCTGGCTTTTTATTCTAAAGACAATGTTTCAAAGAATCTAGATTTGTTCATTGCAGTCTATAAATATTAGATTAATATGGCACATCAGCAGCAAAATTTAAACATTATATAGTGTTATATACACATGTTGAGGCTGGCTCTAAGAGTCCGATCTGGGTTTAAGATCCAGGCCAGAGTTTGACTCTTGCCCAGGCTTAACCTGCAGAGCTCAATCATTTAGGAAGCAGGGCTCTCCAAATCTCTCCCTGCAAGGGAGGCTCCTGAGACATTCCTTCTCACTCTTTGAACCTTAGATTTACACATCCACTCCTCTATGCAGGTGGTGCCAAGGCAACCCAACCTAGTAACCCTGATAACAAGGAAATGTATGTTGTCACATCCTCAGCAGATGTTTTGGGAAGTATCTCATGGGGAGGACTCTTTGAAGTTAGGCTAGATTTTCTCTATATATCCTATACTCTCAGATGAATAAACTGAATCAGTCTTTACTGCTCCACCTGGCCCACGTCTCACATTTATTTCACGCCTTCCTGTTTGGTGCACTATGGATACAGGTACCTAGGTGATTAAATTAATACTGTTGGGAGCTCCAATCATCTGCCTTTTCTAAATTTATAATATCAATTCTTCGTCCCTGACATTTGATCCCTATATCTAATAGAATAAGCTGTTCACATGTAAGGAGATTGGGCTATTGTGAGACTTTTAATTTCATAAACTGGCTTAAACTTGTGCTATAGGATATCTTTTTTTTCCCCCTTCTGAACAATTCAAAGTATATTTTGAGCAGAATAAAAAGGTTAAAGAATATTTACATAGTGCTTTTCCTTAAGATCACTCTCTGTTAGGAATATAATAATCAAGATTCCAACATTGAAAGGAAAGTTCAATTAGAACTTTAAGACCCATTCCAAATCTTAGAATCTGTGAAACTGTAATGTGTAGCCTTTCACTGTTAATAGTTTCATATGTGTTTTTTCTTGTTTAGTGATACTTCTACACAAGATTTTGAAACAGGCAGCTTTACTCCTTGACATTTTAAGCTTTTCAGATTTTTTTTCCCTTTTCTTTAGTAGTGATTCTTTTTCCCTCTTTCCTCATTCTCTTAATGAAGTGTCCAGATTCCTCACATTGTCTACCAAAGCAAACTGTGGGGAAGAAAAAAAAAAGACCTCAAATTTACTCACACTAGATTAAGAAAGTATGACCTACCTGTAGAGGGCCAGCTCTGGGGAGTTGGAGGGCTTAAGCCATCCCAGGTCTTACCTGTAGATTGTACTAAGCCCAGCAGCTGTGAAACTCAGGATGTTGGTTCACCACCCCCTTGTTCCTTCTCTTGAGAACAGGATGCAGGAAGGGAGGAAATAGATAGGGTACAGGGCAGGACGCAGGAAAGAAAGTAATGGATAAGGAACAAGGAAGTAAGGAAATCACTTAATTAGGTTTGTGCTTTTGTGGAAAATAATGTTACTATTGCTTGATCTGGTACTATATAATCCTGAGCCCTCAGATCAATAAATGAAGTTTGTTCTTCACATCTTCCACCTGGCCTGTAATTCTTTCTGTCTTCACACTCTGCCGGCATCAGACCATGGCCGTGGACACAGGCGCTCATGGCATTTGAGTTTCACAGCTGTCGGGCTTAGTACAATCTACAGGTAAGACCTGGGCTTGCCTAAGCTCTCCAAGTCCCCACAGCCAGCCCTCTACACCTACCCAGGGCTATAATCAAGCCATTTCATACCAGTTCACAATAGCTATTTCTTAAATGTTCATTGTGAATATTTATAAATCTGAAACTGGTAACACTACAAATCAGGGCTTGATCTGTTGTTTTCTTTATTGTCCAAACATAATAAAATTGAGAAAATAATCATTATGCAGATTGCAAGTAAACATGTGTCATATATATTTTTTTCAAGGATCTAATTGTTGAACATTTCTGGCACACCATGAAATATAGTCCTTTCTTTTTTAATTGAAAAAAAAAATTGGAAAGATTCTGACAGAGGGAAGAACCTTGGAAAACCAAAGAGATGAAGCTAAAAAAAGATTGCAGAGTTGATATTTGGGGGACAGAACACAATGCCTATTATATGCTCAAATCTTATTATAGAGGAAACTTTCTTTTTTCCCTACCATTTGTTCTTTAAAATGATTACTAGAATTCTAGATGGTATAAGTTGAGTCCACATTTCAGTGCCCTTCAGAGTCTGCCATAACTACTTATAATGTTTTCCTTATCATTGATCTCAATAGAAGGGGGGAGAGATGAAGAGAGAATGATTATATAATCATGGCAGATACTTCCAGGAGCAAGCTATCTAGTCATGCCATTTAAGTTTACTGAAAGAGAACAGAAATCCTTGAGTGATTTGTTGACTTTTCCAGGATCACTATACTAGTCTTAAAGAATCCCTAGTTTTCCAGTCCTACTCTTTTTCAAGTTCAGTCTATGTTCTAGCCATATTGACTCCTTCTAACTAGTATCCATTCTTCTTTCTGCATTGCTCCATCTCTTAATTCTCCCCCCTCTAATCCAGAATCTTCTGATTTGTGCTAGAAACCTCCAAAATCCTGTCTAATGTCCCTACCTGTGACCTCAGGGTGAAAATCTAATCAAATATACTGGAATAGGAACTCACCTCTCTGGAGAAAACACCTGAGTACCTGATCCTGGAGTTGTCCTTATTCAGAATGATATGTATTACCTTGAAGCATAAACCCAAGAGTCCTTATGAAAGCTTGGCATAATCAAGCAACAAGTCCCAGAAGTAGCTTCATGAAAGACCATTTTCCCCCCTGCTACCCACTGGTTACAGACTATTTCTTGTGAATATCCTTTTTGTATCTCTTACTTGTTCTTTTCCTTGGGGATATAGGTCATAGCACGAGTGTGTGAGATCACTGTCCTACTATTCTTCCTTTGTTGTCTTTACCTTCTACTCCGTTGGGTTTCTCTGGCTAATGCCATCAGCCTTCCTTTAAAATCCTGCAAAGAAAAGAAGCACTTATTTTCATCATTGAATGTCTTATCTAACTTTTTTTTTTTTTGCTGAGCTTCATAGTCCAACAAAAAATCCCAAGTCACATAAGGGGGAAAAAACAAAAATAAAAGCGAAAACAAAAACAAAACAAAACAAGAGTTAGAATATAAATTCAGGTCCCCTGACTTGAAGTTGTTTTCTCTCTCTTGCACAACACTGCATTGATAGCTTTCAGAATCAAAGTGTTGTGTAAATCTTAAGGTGAATCCTCCCATAATCAGAAGCATCCCTAGCCAACTTAAGGATGCCAGATACCTGGCTACCTTCAAAATTTCCCACTTTTCCCAAATCAAGGATCAAATAAATAAGAGCTAAACAGTTAAAATATTCTAATTGTTTAGAACCTAGGCCATTCAAATAATATATCACTGAAACTTTTAAGGTCATAGTAAATATTCAGCATTTTTAGGAATTCCCCTTGTGAAAATAGCTCAAAATCAATATAATTTGGACTGAAAATGTCTTATATTTTCTAAAATAGAGAAAAATATACATCAATATAAATATATAATGTACATAAATATAGTATAGTATAATATAATAATACAATATAATGCATATTATAATAAAAATATACGTTGCACATAACCTCATGGAGCAAAGGCTATAGCTTGAGGGCAGAAATGTGCTGAAGCCAGCTCATAAAGGTAAAAAGAGCTGATTGTTAAGTTTCCTTTCTGAGCATTTGCCTTTTGGAAATCAGCAAAAGCTAAAAATCAACTTGATCATTTGTTTTGTTGGTTGTCTAGACACAAGAAGGGGTAAGAAAATGTTCATAATTCAGATTAAACTGAAAAGTGTGTCAAGAGCACTTTTTTTTTGAGAGCCATTAATTAAACTTTTAAAAGCATACCAATGCTAAGATCACCCATTGCATCCTGGTCCATTGCCAGTCTTGGCCTTTGTATTGCCAATGGATTCTGAAGACTCTGGAGGAGAGAGTCCAATTCACACACCAGTGAAGACATCATACTCATGATGTCATTGGTACTGTTATGGAATAAAGGACAAATGGCAACAGAGGTTCTGTAAGAGGTCTTTATACAGAGAGAAGGACTTGTAGAGCAGATGAAGTGAGTTAAACCTTGTCACACATGTTTCTTATATGTGTGCTTCACTACTATTATGGTCTAAGCTTACTACTCCTTGTATAGGTGCTGTGTATATTTGTGGGAAAGAGTGAACCAGGTTCTTAGGAAAAGGTTTTGCATTGACAGCCTTTACTATGTTATCTGAGAGTACTAGTAGCCCTCTGGAAACCTGAACTATCAATTCAAACAGAAGCTGGGAAACCTCTTCCTCTTCCTTCTCTTCCTCCTCCTACTTCTTTTTTCTTTTCTACTTTTTTTTTCAAAAAGCTGGGATATTAATGTATGTCGTAGGCAGTTTTCACTTTTGATTTCTAGAAATATAGCTCTGAAAAACAGGCTTTTCAAAAGCCCATTGTGTTTTAAATGGTGCTATTTGCCTGTGCCTTTAAACTCAAATCATTCTAGCTTTTATTGATTGGCCAATAACTGATCCAACCAAAGCATCTGTGGCTCATTATTTGGGTTTTGATGGCTTAGAATTAATATAAATAGCAATTATTTTTTGTTCTTGTCAAAAACTCACAGTGTCTTGCCCTGCCAGATTGATATCTTTGAAATAGTAAACTTGACCATGTTTTGTCTCAATTCTTACTCAGCAAGGAGTCATTGAATGAGTGTTGCCTCAGACAAACTGAGACCTGGGAAAGACCTTAATTTAGAAACATAAAGGTAACTCATTGCATTCTGGGCCATCACCAGCCATCTTTATCTTTGTCTTACCACTGGCCTCTGCTGACTACAATGACTTTGCACAACTTTGCCTCACTGAAATCCAATTCACAAATAAGTCAAGACATCATTGGTTCTCTTTTAGAATGAAGGACAAACAACAACCAGCATACCTCTATTTGGGGGGGTAATATACATACATACATACACAAAAATCATTATCAAAATATGAGATATTAATGAGAATGAGGACAATGGACAAATGGTATATTCCATCAATAACCATACGACTTCCAGAGCACTAGAGAAACTTTAGGATCATGTTTGGTGGAAACTGAAAATTTGGTGTAGGACATGCACAGGAATTTTGCCAAAAAAAGAAAAAAGAAAAAAAAAGAAAAGAAAAAAACTATTTATGGATGCAATGCAAACTGCATTTTTGGAGAGAATACCCCCAACTTAGAGGCTGTAGATTTTTGTAAGTAATAAAGTGACAAAATATATTATAAAATAAAGTCTTAAATTTTTGTCTTTTCATGTTTCATCATTTGATGCTCAGGGCAAATGTGTCATAAAAAAGATAGAATTTATTACTCAATTTTAAAATCTAAGTGTGACTCAGGTTCTCCTATGATTTGTACACATATGCCTCTACCAACTCTCACATGGGAGAGATTTTACTTGTTTTACTTGGATGCAGGAGCAATTTGTAGAAGTTGTAAAGATATAGATTTCAACTTGATATGAAAGGGGAAGAAATCTTCTTAAATGATTAAAGATGTCAAAAAGTGAGATGTAGTACTATGGTAGATAGAGTTCCCACTCACTGGAGGGACTTGAATCAAAGGCTGGATGACTATATATCTGCATTAATGTGGAGGAGATTCTATTATAAATTAGAGTATATAGTCTCTCAGGTCTTTTCTGATTTTAATAGTGTAATTCCAAGTGACTTGTTCAGTGATGAGGGAGTTGATATCTACTGTACTATCCCTTTGTCCCATACCAAGTGTGTTGTTTTCAGTTTTGGTTTTAGAAAGGTTATGACAAGCTGAAGCCCCTAGGAGTGAGCCACAAAGATGGTAGTTGATTCATTCCCCCATAGATGGGTCAACTGAGGGAAATGAATTTTTCATTGTAATAAAAGAATGTTTTATATAGATATTTTATATATATACATATATATTTTTTTTTTGGGGGGAGGCTATAGTGGGGAATAGTCATATTGAATTGTTTGAAGGACTTTTATCTGTCTTAGCGGACAAAGATAAGATTGATTCTGTTTGGCCCTACATGATATAGTATAGTAGCAATAGTAGAAAAGTGGCCAACAGGAAGATTTAAACTCAAAGTTAAAGGAGGAAAAGTTTTAATTATTAAAATTAATCCAGAATATATTCTGGAAAGACAATGGAGTAGGTCAAAAATTCCCAACTTCTCCAGATCATAAGGAAATGATCGGGAAGAAAAGGTGTAAAGGAAGGAGGTTTAGCAGTACCACATCTTAAACTGTATTATAAAGCAGTAATTACCAAAACTGGTAATTGGTACTGGCTAAGAAACAAAAAATAAATAAATGAAATGAAATAGAATAATGATACATTTCACAGCAGCAAATAAACATAATAACCTTGTATTTGACAAGTGTAAAGACTTTAGATTTTGGGATAAGAATTCATTGTTTGTAAAAATTGTTGGGAAAACTGGAAAACAGCAGGGCAGAAACGGGGCATGGACCAATATCTCACACCATTTACTAAGATAAGGTCTAAATGGATATATGACCTAGATGTAAAGAGAGCTTTTAGAGGAACATGCACCACAGTACTTATCAGACTTATGGACAGGTGAACAAATTATGATTAAACAAGAAATAAAGAGCAAAGTTAGGTGTAAAATGGATAATTTTGATTACATGAAGCTCAAAAGGGTTTGTACAAATAAAAGAAATATAGCCAAGATTAGAAGGAAAGCCAAAAATTGGGGAAAAAATTATAGACAGTTTATCAGATGAAGTCCTCATATCTAAAATATATAAAGAACTTTGTCAAATCTCTAAGAATACAAGTCATTTCCCGATGGATAAATCATCAAATGATGTGAAAAGATGGTTGTCCTGTGAAGAAATCAAAACAGTTTATAGTCACATAGAAATGCTTCAAATAGTTATTGATTAGAGAAATGCAGATTAAAACAAACTTGAGATATCCTTTACACCTACTAGATTGGCTAAAATGATAGAAAAGGAGAGTGACATGTTGGAGATGATGTGGAAAACTTGGGACACTAATTCATTGTTGGTCAAGTCATAAAATGATCCAAAAATTTTGGAGAGCATTTAGGAATTGTGCCCACAGAGTAATGAAATTACCAAACCCTTTGATCCAGCAATACCACTCCTTGGTTTATATCCAAAGATCTTTAAGGAAAAACGAAAAGAACTTATATGTTCTAAAATGTTTATAGCAGCTCTCTTTGTGGTGGCAAAGAACTGGAAATTGCAAGGATGCCCATCAATTTGGGAGTGGCTGAACAAGTTGTGGTACATGATTGTGATGGAATGTTATTGTGTTATAAGAAATGATGAGCTCAATGATTTTAGAAAAATATGGAAAGACTTGCATGAAATAATGAAGAGTAAAGTGAGCAGAACCAAGAGAACATTATATACAGTAATAGCACTATTGTTTTAAGAACAACAAAAATAAATTATTTTTGACTATTATAAATACTCAAATTGACTCTAAAGGACACATGAAGAAAGACACTATCTGAATACAGAGAAAGAACTGATAAGTAGAAGTATGTATAGAATAATTTAGACACACACATATACACATGTATAAATATACATATGTGCACACACACATATATCAATATCTACACACACACATCTTATATGTAATCTATGTATATTGAAATCTACGTAATATATACACATATCTCTCATATATATGTATGTGCATACATATACATACATGCATATATGTAACATCTCTAGGGCAAGGAGTTAGGGGGAGGGAAGGAAAAAGAAATGTAGATGAAAATTTTGTTGTGTATTGGAAAGCATTAGCAAGTTATGCATAGCAGATTTGCAGTTTCAAGAGCAATCATCTTTTTTTATTGTACTATATGACAGAAATGCTTGTTTTATTTCATAAATTCAAAATTTAAAAAAAAGTGAACCTAAAGTGATATTGTCTTTCTCAGGATATATCAGGTATCTTGCACCTAGAAGTCTTCAAGCAACTATTCCATGATTACTTGTTGAAGCTATGGTACAAAGGACTTCTGTTCAGGTATGGTTTGGACAAAGTGATGTGCCTAAAGTTCGGGTTTGAATATGTCACCCATCTCCCCCCCCCATTCAATAAACTCCAGTGGCTCCCTATGATCTCTAGGATCAAATATGAAGTCCTCTGTTCAGTTTTTAAAGCTCTTCATAACCCACCTACCTTTTCAGTCTTTTTAAAGATTATGTATCTCCATGCCATCTAGGATGCAGTTACTGGAATGCTTACTAGTACTTGAACAAAACAGTCTATCTCATAAATCTGGGCATTTTCTTTGGCTGTTCCCCTAGGCCTAGAATCCTCTTCTTTCCTCATGTATATGTACTGGCTTCCCTGACTTCCTTCAAGTCCCAAATGAAATCCTGTGTTCTAATAAGAAACCTTTTCTGATCCCCCTTAATCCTAGTGCTTTACCCCTACTGATTATTTCCAAGTTATCTTCTATAGATTTGGTTGGTTCATAAGTATTTATGTATGTTCACCTATATTGGACTAAAAACTTCTTTGGATAGGAGGGTGGGGGCCAGGGGACAGTCTTTTGCCTTTCTTTGTATTTCCAGCACCTCCCACATTGCTTGTGCATAGTAGATACTTAATGAATGTTTACTGACTGAGTAATTTCTTGGAAGTTATACCTGGCTTTAAGCTCATGGAATTCTTTTCCCAATTCTATATTTTAGCTACTTTTTTAACCAACATATCAGTATTTCAGTCAAGAAGGAGAACAAAATCACTAGACTGATATTCTTTAAGCAAGATAGTAATAAGGAAATCAATAGGTCCTTAAAAAGCAATTGAACTGGGACAGCTAGGTGGTGCAGCGGATAGAGTACCAGCTCTAAAATCAGGAGGATCTGATTTCAAATCTGACCTCAGACCAAACAGTTGACACTTACTAGCTGTGTGACCCTGGGCAAGTCACTTAACCCCAATTGCCAAAAAAAGAAAAGGCAATAGAACTAAATTAGATGAACTTATGTTATATACTTTTAACAAATCATTAAGGATCATTTAGAAAAAAAGGAATTAGCAAAAAATTTATTTAACTTTACTATACATACTATTGTATGTATAGAATAATATAGTGTTCCTTTAGTCTTGTGAAATAATGAGTACTAGTATGTTTTTTATATAGAGCCATTTTTTACAGGTATTTGAGGGGGTTTGGGGGAGAGCTCAAGCAAGTCAGTGTAGTATGTTTTTTAAAAGGTATGAATATCAGCGTAAGTATAATAAAGCAGAATTGGATTATTTTAAGATTGTCTTCTAAAAATATGGAATTTAGTTATAGCAGTCTACTATTCACTTTTGACAAAGGAATAGGAAATGACTTGAGAGTAGTGATTGAATTAGTAATCTCTGATCAACAAAGCAATAATTACTAAGATCTTAATGTATTTATTATGTAGTTGCTACAAAATGTCTCTTGAGAAAGTTAATGAACATATTTCATGTGATTCATTAACTCACAGAATCATAGGACTAGAAAATGTTAAGAGCTGGAATGGTGTTTTGAGTGTACCTTGTCCAATCTCTTTATTTTGCAAAGGAGGAAACGGAAGCCCATAATGATGAACCAATTCATCCCAGGTCATAGGGATTTCAAGGCAGAGCCAGGTCTAGAACCTAAGTCTCCTGACTCCTGGGCCACTGTTCTGTTCACCAACACTCTCTGTTTAGACTTGCTTTTCACGAGTCAGTTCTATCATTATTTGAAAGAATGGTGATGGAAAGGGGAAGTAAACTTTAAAAGAAAAAAAAAGTTTGATTTACAGGCAGGAGGAGTAGAAAAGAAGAGGAAAAGTTAAAATAAAGCAAAGCACTTAATTCTGTGCTCTTTCAATTCTGCCTGAATAGAATACACTTAGAATGGTATTACAGTTCTCATTTGCTGTGCTCTTTTAGCCCTGGTTTGCTCTTGTGTATAATCAGTGCTGCATCATTACCCATTGAGTACGAGTAAAGAGCAGAGAAATTTCGTTCTTTAGCACTGAAGGTTAGGCTATTTATGTGATTTTGTCTAGCTTCTTTTATATTTAGCACAGGTCATATGTGCAAAAAAGGATTCAATGGGAGCAATCATACTGCCTGGATAATCATGGTTCATGACTTCAAAATATCTGTTATTTCGTCTGGGCTATGTACTTCTTCCACCTACAAAGCTATGTACATATAGCTGCTCTTCCTTGCCTTAGAGTACTGGACTTGGAGTCAAGAAGATGTGATTTTAATTTTAGCTTAAAATTCTAACCATCCTATATATAGGACCACCTCTGCCTGTGTATTCTTGGATACAACCTTTAACCTCTCTAAATTTCAAGTTCCTCAACTATAAAAAGTAGATATTAATAGCACCTATTTCACAGGGGTTTTGTGATGACTGAATCAAATAATATAAATAAAACACTTCACAAACCTTAAAGTGCGATAGAAAAGTTAATATTCATGTGTGCAAACACAAACCCCTATGTGTATGTATGCATGTGCACATATAAACATATATTATTGATTATTTTAGTATAATGATTATTCTATGGAATAGACATGCACAGGGTCTTTGTATTTATATGTTTATGGTGTGCACATATGTATATATATACATATATCTGCTACGTGTACACATATAAATGCATGTGCATATATACACACATGTAATTGAGGGTAAATATACATACATATGTATGCATATGCAAATGTGTGTACACACACATACATATACATATATATGTACACACACACATATATAAAAGCATATGCATACCATAAGGTACAGAATTTAGGCAAATTTGGAGAGATGTCCCACTAAAGTATGGCCATATTCGTTTGTATGCATGTATGTAGGTATGTGTGTGTGTGTGTGTGTGTGTGTGTGTGTACTTATACCCACATAAATTCATGCATTTCCTGGTGGTCTACCTTTAGGTAATAAATCTATGTGAACTGAGTTAGACCATTCTTTGAACAGTAGATTTTACTGAGATTATACTGCAAGCCTTTCTAGTCAGGATTTACAACAGCCAGTAGTCTCCTCTGGCATACCTTTTGAAAAACCTGGATTTACCATGAAGAGGCAGATGCAATTTTAGTGGACTTAATCTTACCCCTCATATCCTTGGGGTATAAGCTACCACCCAAGGCACGGTAGGACTTTTATAGTATTGTAAATTGGTCAGCCTTATAGACAATATTAAAGAAGAGAAATTGTCTTTTCAGACATTGGATTTTCCTTTTCTATTCCTATATCTGTCATGATCAGAGCATGAGTAAAATAGTAGAGGCAAAGGAAAAAAAAATATCCAATGGATATGACAACTGAGTTGACTACGTTGCTGAGATTTATAGAAGACAACGAAGTAAGGCAGGGTAAAGATAAAAGCAATTCAATGAATCTAATCAGACTTTGTTAATCACCTTTTACATTGGCGTTGTTCTAGGTACAAGAAATTTTAAAAAAAAGAAATACTCCCCTACTTTAAGAAGTTTACATTTTTTATATTATTGTTTAAATTAATTTATTTTAAGTTTTCAGCATTCACCTCCCTAAGCTTTAGAGTTTTAAATTTCCCCCCCTCCCTACCAGTCTCCCTCTTAAGACAGTATGTAATATGATAGAGGCTCCACATATATATTTCTATTAAACATTTTCACATTACTCATGTTGTAAAGAAGAATTAGAACCAATAGGAGGAACCATAAGAAAGAAGAAATGAAACAAAACAGAAGAAAAAAAAAGTAAATAGTATGCTTTGATTTGCATTCAGACTTCACAGTTCTTTCTCTGGATGTGGGTGGACTGCATTTTCCATCATGAGACTTTTGGAGATGTCTTAGATCCTTGCATTGCTGAGAAGAGCTAAGTCTGTCAAAGTTAGTCCTCATACAATGTAGCTATTATTGTGTACAATATTCTCCTGGTTCTGCTCACTTCCCTCAGCATCAATCCATATAAATCTTTCCAGGTTTTTCTGAAGTCTGCTTGTTCATCATTTCTTACAGCACAATAGTATTCCATTACATTCATAGACCACAACTAATTCTGCCATTCCCCAATTGATAGACATCCCTTTGATTTCCAAATATTTGCCAGAACAGAAAGAGCTGCTATAATTATTTTTGTACATGTGGGTACTTTTCCCATTTTTATGATCTCTTTGGGATACAGCTCTAGAAGTGCTATTGCTGGGTCAAATGGTATGTGTTTGTTTTATAGAACTTTGGGCATAGTTCCAAATTGCTCTCCAAATTGATTAGATCAATTCACAACTCCACCAACAATGCATTAGTGCTCCAATTTTCCCACATCTTCTCCAATATTTATCATTTTCCTGTTTCGTTATGTTAGCTAATCTGATAGGTGTGATGTGGTACTTCAGAGTATTTTGATTTGCATTTCTCTAATCAACAGTGATTTAGAACATTTTTTTTCAAAATAAAGATTATGCTCAGTTTTGCTGGGTAGTTGATCCTTGGTTGTAATCCAAGTTCCTTTGCCTTACAAAATATCATATTCCAAGCCCTGTTACCTTTTAATGCAGAAGTTGTAAGGTTCTGCACAATCCTCACTGTGTTTCCATGATATTTGAATTGTTTCTTTCTGGCTGCTTGAAGAATTTTCTCCTTGACTTGATAATTCTGGAATTCGGCTACAATATTCCTTCGTGTTTTCAATCTTAGATCTCTTTCAGTAGGTGATTGGTGAATTCTTTCAATGACTATTTTACTGTCTGGTTCTAGGACCTCTTGACAATTTTTCTTTAAGATCTCCTAAAAAATGCTCTCCAGGATCTTCTTTTTTTTTTTTTCCATCATGGCTTTCAGGTAGACCAATAATTGTTAAGTTATCTCCCCTAGATCTATTTTCCAGGTCAGTTGTTTTTCCAATGAAGTATTTTACATTTTCTCCTTTTTTTTTCATTCTTTTGATTTTGTTTTACCGATTCTTGATGCCTCATAGAATCTTTAGATTCCAATTGCCCAATTCTAATTTTTAATGAATTGTTTTCTTC